GTATTCTTTCAACTATAGACTTCGTATAGCTCCGAGTGCGTGTCCGAGCGCAGCCAATGTTCTCGGACACGTTATCAAAATGTTGTAGATCCATTTCTTACCGCTATGATGTTCTCTTTTCGCGCGCTTTGCAATAAAATATTGATTACAACCCCCTTCAGTCACGATTCAAGATGGCAATCAGAAACTCTCATAAGTTACATCATTGAATTCCAAGGCACTCAGTATTACATTACAAAAAATAAAATTCAAGAATGTGTCATTTTGTGTGAGTTTCGGTAATTAAAAAATGAGGGCATTACTACTTATTTAGTCATTGTGTCACTAGTTAGCTTTAGTACTTGCATTAACATGATAAACCTTTAGGCTCAAAATGAATGCACAGTTTGTTTTGTTTTTTGTTTGTATTCGTTGCGAGTTCATAAAAACATAATTTTCACGTGAATCCTGGTAAGCGGCACGTCGATCGGTCAATCGAACATGGTAGTCTCTGCAACAAAGTCATTCTCTGCAGCAATAAGCAGTACAATTAAATTAGGTGAACTGTAGTCGTCCACTCGAGAAACCTGCTGGAACGCGCACACCGAGTTTCTGGCTATTTGCAGAAGCAGGTGGTGTATGACGTGCCATCAAAGTTCGCGTACACAGTCGTGTACACCGTGACTCAAAGGGTTACACTGCTGTAAAATTCAACACATATTGTCCCGCATACTTCGTAAGATTTCATAGTCGGTTAGTTTATTAAAGTTATTTTCCCTCGAGGGTGAAATAATTCAACTTATTTATTTTCGAATCCCGTAGCATTAGTTCCAGCAGCAATGTTCACGTTCCTAAGTACCTTGCTCATAAGCCAAATGTAGGTGGCTGATATGAAAGCGATGTCGCTCCCGAGCTGCTGAAGGAATTTGTCGAATACAGAACTAAGAAGTCCCGCGAATGAAGAGCTTAGATTTAGCTTGCTATCTTTCATAGCTTTTTCATTTTGTTGAATCCCGAGAGACTGAGACAAAGTTGAGAGAGAGAAAAAGTGGTTTGCATTAAAGTTCCACACTGGTGTCCAGAATGGGGACGTGACGTGAAAGCTCACACGACTCTTGCTTTTATTTTTCAAGGCGTTCCTCGTCTTAACCACACCTCACTCTGCCAGCATTGACGTAACCGTAACAGGTCGTGCAAGATAAAACGAGCTTCTGTTACTTAACATAAAACAAAACCAGTGGTAATGGAAACTTGCACCATGCTTCTAAAATACCTGAACGAGACGATCCACATACTAATTTTTCGTCATGCCTTTTGGCTTTAGCGGTAGCGATAATATGAACGATAACGTGCTCGTTCGGACGAAAAGCTCTCGACATCCGGTTACGGCGCACTCGTGCAAGTGTCTGTATACGTTAGGCACTGTTACCAGCTGATGGTGTTCTGCATAATAAATGCGATTGAATACGTAATCGAGCACCAAACTCCTTTGTTCCCTTCCCTACGGCACGTGGAAGCAGATTGAGCTGCAAAAAGATGGACGAAACCGCGAGACACGTTAATGAGATGCTTCGATGGGGTGAAAAGAGATAAAGAAGCAAAAAATCAAGAAATTGAAGAATCTTATTTTTATATAACCTCACTATTTTCGCAATAGTGTCTATACTAGCTATAGCCGAGAGAGTGTTGACGACTCTAAACTTGTGCACCGTGTCTCTCTCTCCTATGGTTAAAGCCGGTTTAAAACTTGTTCTGGAAGCCATCTACGAGGTATAAAAGCACGCTGGTCAGTGAGAGAAGTCAGAAGCTTCTGCTCCTCCGACGGATTAGGAACACCACCATGGTAAGCTATCTGTCAAATCCTCCCTATTATGAAGGGACGCCGCGAAGACTTGTCCCTATTGCACTGCTTTACAAAGCATGCTTAGACCAGTGGTAAAAAGCCTTACTGCCACCTTGTTTCCTTCACATAATTTTTTTTCCTTTCGAGATCAAATCGCCATATGTTTCACTAAACTGCATGCCACTTGGAACAGCGTGGTTATAATAACTTATCTGTAGTTTCTATACACTATATTATTGCTCCTATAAAGCATATGTACGACCAAAGTCAAATATATTGAGAGAAGTCGCATCCCAGTGACGTATAAGAAGCAAACAACTTAAATGTTCTTAAATTTCCCATAAATGCTCCAAAATCTAAACAGCGCCAAATGCAGCAAATGCAGCAAAATTCTTAGATGAAATCATACCATCATTCAGAGGTAATTACGAGCTGTCTTTGCAGCCAATGAGTATTTTCTATTCTACCACTTACATAGGTATGTTCACTTTTTCAGCTCCGTGCCTGCATCGTCCTTGTTTTGGCCACCAGCGCCCTTGCTGGCCACATTGGCCACCTTGCGGGAGGCTACACTCTCGCTAGTAACCTCGGCTACGGCCTTGGCTACGGCAACCTTGGATACTCTGGCCTCGGCTATGGTGGTCTTGGTCTTTCCCACTACGGCCTTTCTCACGGTGTTGGCTATTCCGGCCTGACCGGCTTCGGTGCTGGCTATGGATATGGATACGCCGCTCCAGCTGCCGGTTATGCTGTCGCTGCTCCAGCTGTTGCCCGTACTGTCGCCACCTACCACGCTGCTCCAGCCGTTACTGCCGTCCACGCTGCTCCAGCTGTCACTGCTGTGCACGCTGCTCCAGCTGTCGCTACTTACGCTGCTGCCCCAGCTGTCACCAGGGTTGTTCAGTCTGCTCCAGCTGTTGCCACCTACGCTGCTGCCCCAGCTGTCACCAGGGTTGTTCAGTCGGCTCCAGTTGTCGCCGCTGCCCCAGCTGTCACTCGTGTCGCCTACAGCGCCCCAGCTGTCACCAGGGTTGTTCAGTCTGCCCCAGCTGTCTCCTATGCCGTTGCTCCAGCCGTCACCAAGGTTGTCCAGTCTGCTCCAGTTGTCGCCGCTGCCCCAGCCGTGACCACTGTCCACCACGCCGCTCCAGCTTTCGCTGCCGTCCACGCTGCCCCAGCTGTTGCCACCGTCGCCCACGCTGCCCCAGCCATCGCCACCGTTGCCCACGCTGCTCCAGCCGTCGCCACTTACGGTGTTGCCCACGCCGCCCCAGCCGTCGCCACCTACGGCATCGCTCACGCCGCTCCAGCCTACTACGGCTACGGTGTTGGATCCCTCGGCTATGGTGTTGGCAGCTATGGTTACGGTCATGGTCTCCTCGGCTACGGTCTGAACTACGGCTATGGTCTCGGCTCTCCTCTGAGCTACTCCACCCTTCTCCGCAAGAAGAAGTGTAAGTTTCGGTGTCTTTACTGTAGTTCACGAGGTGTTCAAAAGTTCTTTCACCTAATATTTATTATGTCTTCCTGTTTCAGAAATTTTTGTCTTCCTGGAAGTGAGACCGAACTGACGCAATACAGCCATGAAGAACCAGTCTTTCATGTGTCCGTGATATATAGTCATTGTTGCAACGTAATAAAATGTTTGTGTAAAGATCATGTCTCTTTACTAATATAGCTCAGCCGAGTTGAAGCTACTTCATCAACTCTATTATTCCCATCCAGAATATTGAGAAAATTTCATAATTCGACTTTTTCAAGCAGATCTTCTGCCTCAACGAAACATCAGCCTCCCTGGCTTGGTGAATAACAACAAGCACCTATTTTTCACAAAGATGTCTTCGTGTGCCGAAGCACCCTAAAGTGAAAACCACACATATTTATTCTTTTCCAATTTGCTAGCGCCCTTCATGATTTTTTCGTCACCTGTCTGCAACAAACAACCACTCTGCCTAATTCCATTTGCAAACAATCATGCAAAGATTGAGAGTACAGTACCCAGTTTCTGCACAGGAATGATAGGTTGTTGTATATAACAATGAAGCGGTTACATTACCTTTGGGTGTAATATATTCACGTTTGCAGTTTTTTTACATGTCTTCGTGTGCAGAGCTGCTATTTTCTGCATAGAAAAGTTTGTGTGTGACCGTGTAGTCCTTGACGCATCATATACAATGATAACGAGGGCCTATGTTATGCTTAGGCATCTTAAACGCCTTAATTTCTTGCGTGCGAACATCAAGCCACAAAAAGGCAAGGTTCTGTGTGAATCTTTCGATGATTCCCGTAGAAAGATATTGAAAACACACTTGAATGACGTCCATGTTCATCTACTGCTTCATCAACGGAGAGACACTTCTGACACTGGTGTTTGGTAATCCTAGAAAACAGCCTATGAATTTTAGACCGAGCGCGTCCACACAAGCAGCTTCGCTGAAGTTTTGTCCACTTGAGAAATCGAGAACTCGGTCTGACACGGGAACGTAGAATGTCAGTCGGAGGCACAGATTCTTAAACGAAACTTATAGTGCTTTAGTGACGAAGCGTACTACATAGAGTCACATAATGACTGTTACCATCGCGCAGGAATAGAATACACTCAACTAAGTGTCGTTCTAATTCCTCATTAAAATGGCTTTCTCAAACATTGGATGAAACGAGGGAAAGGTGTTACGAATTTTCTCATTAAGTTGTGTCATGTGAAGACAGGCACCACATTTTCAAAACAACTTCTCCGTTGAGAACGAAATACGTACAGCTACCTCGTTGCGAGAATCCGTCTATTGTCTTCATCCTTGAAAGTTGGCCATGCCATTCGAGCTGGACTGTCGCCTTTCCAGTGGCCCGGGCCTAACTTGCCAGTTATAGAGCGCAGCTCTGAAACACCTGTTCATGCCTGGAGTGGCGTCCCTGTGACCATTGCCGTCACTATTGGCAGGGTAACAGAAGGGCACGAAAAAATTAAAGGGAAAAAATATATAAAAACACGCACGGTGTTTCAACCCGGGCTCGTTGCGTAGCAGTCCAGTCTTCTGCCACAAAGCTACGCTGGTGCTTGAAAGTAATTTGCAAAAGGACCAGATACTGACGTCACGTCGGGGGAGGAATACCGCCAACGTATGTAATATGGCTTGGAAGAAGAGTAACAAATCAACCAGCCATCCCACAATCCTAGTTCTGCAACGAGTTCAATGTGTGTGGTCCTAATGTATCTCACCCGCATCAGAATCTACAGACATTTTCATTGTCATCGGACACAAGCAGCATCGACGAAGTGCACTATACCTTACAGACGTCGAGCCTGTACCATTTTTATTCTCAGAAAGATTAATAATAGCGTACGGGGTGCTATCGTACTCCAAAAACTAATTACAATTTGAAGCTCATTGCGAAAAAACAAAATTTCAATACAGTTCTCATGGCCTCAACATAAAGATTCACTAGGCATTCACATTACGGTGTATCCTAACCATCGGAGACATTATTTAAGGTGGAAATTTCATGATCTAAAAGGTGATTATCAAGGTTAGCAAAACTCATGCAAAAAACCATCGTCATATGGCAGCGTGACACTACGATGGTATATTTATATCAAGAATTACCGAAATTTAGGATGTCGTGATGACGTCATTCTGAGGCTCTGACGACATTACGGTATGTCTGAGTTGCGTACAGTGTCTGTGTCTTTTGTTATATTTTGAAAACATTTAACGACCGAGTACTTAGACATTTGCAGTTGTGGGACACCCAGTTCAAAATGTCCATTGCGTGACTTAAAGTTCTTATTAGACTTTTCTACCACACTATATTACATATGTTAACGTGATTTTTAGGGACATGAAGCATGTGTGAGATCTTACTGCGAAGCAATTCTACGCACTGACACGGCTCTTTTAACGAATATCGGGCTGCCATGAAGAGGGCTGAAGTTCAAGCTTCCCTCCATTCTGAACTCTTCTTCTTTATTGTGCTTGTGTTCTTCTTTCGCGCGATTGCGGGTACGGAAACCTGTGGCGGCAGACAACTACGGTGCCAAAAACAGGCATTGTTGTATTCTCTTAACAGCTTTTTGTCAAAAAGGAGGTGGCCCTTTCGAGTCTTCTTTGGCAAACGTACGAGAAAGTGGCTTTTGCTTTTGAAGCACATTAGTCAAGGGCACGCAAGTCTTTGAGGTTCAATTTATTATTTGTTTTCGATATTTTTAGGCCTGAGACAACCAAACCAGTCATCTCGCTAAACGCAAAAGCACTTCATTCTGCTTGCACTGCTGAAGACACAATATCTCGTTTTTAAATTCGATTTTCTGTAAGCCTTATTAACAATTGCGGCAATATATTCAGGGAGCAGCGTGCTTCCTCTCACGCAAGCTTTAAAAACATCAGTTATCCTCTAAAACACTTCGACATGCTAAAAAATTTATTGGCTGTTGCTTATTAAAAACTAACTTGAGGTATATATAGTAAGGTGTCTATAGCCAGGCGCTTACGGTGCTTAAAATTTGTGAATTCATTACTCATTGTCCTGTCATTGGTGAAAAAGCGTGTGCCTACAAAATAAGAGTATTTCCGCTTTCTTGTTTGTTAAAATTTAGTTTAAGAGAAAGTGTACTTAACAGGGATTAGAGGATAAAATAGTTATTCTGGAAAAAAAAAATATGCACGTTTGAATTTCAGTTGGTAACAGGCACTGTTACCAGCTGATGGTGTTCCGCATAATAAATGCGATTGAATACGTAATCGAGCACCAAACTCCTTTGTTCCCTCACCTACGGCACGTGGAAGCAGAATGAGCTGCAAAAAGATGGACGAAACCGCGAGACACGTTAATGAGATGCTTCGATGGGGTGAAAAGAGATAAAGAAGCAAAAAATGAAGAAATTGAAGAATATTATTTTTATATAACTTCACTATTTTCGCAGTAGCGTCTATACTAGCTATAGCAGAGAGAGTGTTGACGACTCTAAACTTGTGCACCGTGTCTCTCTCTCCTATGGTTAAAGCCGGTTTAAAACTTGTTCTGGAAGCCATCTACGAGGTATAAAAGCACGTTGGTCAGTGAGAGAAGTCAGAAGCTTCTGCTCCTCCGACGGATTAGGAACACCACCATGGTAAGCTATCTGTCAAATCCTCCCTATTATGAAGGGACGCCGCGAAGACTTGTCCCTATTGCACTGCTTTACAGAGCATGCTTAGACCAGTGGTAAAAAGCCTTACTGCCACCTTGTTTCCTTCACATAATTTTTTTTCCTTTCGAGATCAAATCGCCATATGTTTCACTAAACTGCATGCCACTTGGAACAGCGTGGTTATAATAACTTATCTGTAGTTTCTATACACTATATTATTGCTCCTATAAAGCATATGTACGACCAAAGTCAATTATATTGAGAGAAGTCGCATCCCAGTGACGTATAAGAAGCAAACAACTTAAATGTTCTTAAATTTCCCATAAATACACCAAAATCTAAACAGCGCAAAATGCAGCAAATGCAGCGAAATTTTTAGATGAAATCATACCATCATTCAAAGGTAATTACGAGCTGGATTTGCGGCCAATGAGTATTTTCTACTCTACCACTTACATAGGTATATTCACTTTTTCAGCTCCGTGCCTGCATCGTCCTTGTTTTGGCCACCAGCGCCCTTGCTGGCCACATTGGCCACCTTGCGGGAGGCTACACTCTCGCTAGTAACCTCGGCTACGGCCTTGGCTACGGCAACCTTGGATACTCTGGCCTCGGCTATGGTGGTCTTGGTCTTTCCCACTACGGCCTTTCTCACGGTGTTGGCTATTCCGGCCTGACCGGCTTTGGTGCTGGCTATGGATATGGATACGCCGCTCCAGCTGCCGGTTATGCTGTCGCTGCTCCAGCTGTTGCCCGTACTGTCGCCACCTACCACGCTGCTCCAGCCGTGACTGCCGTCCACGCTGCTCCAGCTGTCACTGCTGTGCACGCTGCTCCAGCTGTCGCTACTTACGCTGCTGCCCCAGCTGTCACCAGGGTTGTTCAGTCTGCTCCAGCTGTTGCCACCTACGCTGCTGCCCCAGCTGTCACCAGGGTTGTTCAGTCGGCTCCAGTTGTCGCCGCTGCCCCAGCTGTCACTCGTGTCGCCTACAGCGCCCCAGCTGTCACCAGGGTTGTTCAGTCTGCCCCAGCTGTCTCCTATGCCGTTGCTCCCGCCGTCACCAAGGTTGTCCAGTCTGCTCCAGTTGTCGCCGCTGCCCCAGCCGTGACCACTGTCCACCACGCCGCTCCAGCTTTCGCTGCCGTCCACGCTGTCCCAGCTGTTGCCACCGTCGCCCACGCTGCCCCAGCCATCGCCACCGTTGCCCACGCTGCTCCAGCCGTCGCCACTTACGGTGTTGCCCACGCCGCCCCAGCCGTCGCCACCTACGGCATCGCTCACGCCGCTCCAGCCTACTACGGCTACGGTGTTGGATCCCTCGGCTATGGTGTTGGCAGCTATGGTTACGGCCATGGTCTCCTCGGCTACGGTCTGAACTACGGCTATGGTCTCGGCTCTCCTCTGAGCTACTCCACCCTTCTCCGCAAGAAGAAGTGTAAGTTTCGGTGTCTTTACTGTAGTTCACGAGGTGTTCAAACATTCTTTCGCCTAATATTTATTATGTCTTCTTGTTTCAGAAATGCTTGTCTTCCTGGAAGTCAGACCGAATTGAAGCAATACAGCCATGAAGAACCAGTCTTTCATGTGTCCGTGATATATAGTCATTGTTGCAAAGTAATAAAATGTTTGTGTAAAGATCATGTCTCTTTACTAATATAGCTCAGCCGAGTTGAAGCTACTTCATCAACTCTAGTATTCTCAACTAGAATATTGAGAAAAGTTTCATAATTCGACTATTTCAAGCAGAGCTTCTGCCTCAACGAAACATCAGCCTCCCTGGCTTGGTGAATAACAACATGCACCTATTTTTCACAAAGATGTCTTCGTGTGGCGAAGCAACCTAAAGTGAAAGCCACACATATTTATTCTTTTCTAATTTGCTAGCGCCCTTCAGGATTTTTTCGTCACCTGTCTGCAACAAACAACCACTCTGCCTAACTCCATTTGCAAACAACCATGCAAAGATTGAGAGTGCAGTACCCAGTTTCTGCACAGGAATGATAGGTTGTCTTATATAACATTGAAGAGGTTACATTACCTTTGGGTGTTGTATATTCACGTTTGCAGTTTTTTTCTTACACGTCTTCGTGTGCTGAACTGCTATTTTCTACATAGAAAAATTTGTGTGCGACCGTGTAGTCCTTGACGCATCATATACAATGATAACGAGGGCTCATGTTATGCTTAGGCATCTTAAACGCCTAAATTTCTTGCGTGCGAACATCAAGCCACAAAAAGGCAAGGTTCTGTGTGAATCTTTCGATGATTCCCGTAGAAAGATATTGCAAACACACTTGAATTACGTCCATGTTCATCCACTGCTTCATCAACGGAGAGACACTTCTGACACTGGTGTTTGGTAATTCTCAAAAACAGCCTATGAATTTTAGACCGAGCGCGTCCACACAAGCAGCTTCGCTGAAGTTTTGTCCACTCGAGAAATCGAGAACTCGGTCTGACACAGGAACGTAGAATGTCAGTCGGAGGCACAGATTCTTAAACGAAACTAATAGTGCTTTAGTGACGAAGCGTACTACATAGAGTCACATAATGACTGTTACCATCATGGGGGAATAGAATACACTCAACTAAGTGTCGTTCTAGTTCCTCATTAAAATGGCTTTCTCAAACATTCGATGAAACGAGGGAAAGGTGTTCCAAATTTTCTCATTAAGTTGTGTCATGTGAAGACAGGCAGCACATTTTCAAAACACCTTCTCCGTTGAGAGCGAAATACGTACAGCTACCCCGTTGCGAGAATCCGTCGATTGTCTTCATCCTTGAAACTTGGCCATGCAATTCGAGCTGGACTGTCGCCTTTCCAGTAGCCCGGGTCTAACTTGCCAGTTGTAGGGCGCAGCTCTGAAAGACCTGTTCATGCCTGGAGTGGCGTTCCTCTGACCATTGCCGTCGCCATTGGCAGGGTAACCGAAGGGCACGAAAAAATTAAAGGGGAAAAATATATCAAAACACGCACGGTGTTTCAACCCGGGCTCACTGCGTAGCAGTCCAGTCTTCTGCCACAAAGCTACGCTGGTGCTTGGAAGTGATTTGCAAAAGGACCAGATACCGACGTCACGTCGGGAGAGGAGTACCGCCAACGTATGTAATATAGCGTAGAAGAAGAGTAACAAATCAACCAGTCATCCCACAATCCTAGTTTTGCAACGAGCTCAATGTGTGTGGTTCAATGTATCCCACCCGCATCAGAGTCCACAAACATTTCCATTGTCATCAGAGCAATGCAGCATCGACGAAGTGTGCTAATACCTTGCAGACGTCGAGCCTGTACAATTCTTATTCTCAGAAAGAGAGAGAAGGAGAAGCAGAAATATTGTAGGAAAGGTAGGAAGGTTAACTAGACTATGCTTCCAGTTTGCTACCCTACACATGGGGAGGGGGAGAGGGGAGTAAAAGAGAGAGAGAAGGATAGACACATGTCACATCACACACACAATGCCGAGTTTCCCAGGTGGTCCCTCAATGAAGTTGTTGACAAGTATCTCAGGAGGGCTCGTGTTGCTTTCTGTGCTGATGTGCTGCGCGACCAGGCTCCTAAGATCTTTGCTTCATTAAATGGCCGGTCATCGAGTTTATTCAAGGCACACTGGAGAGTCTGGCGTTCTTCATCAAATTGGGCACAGTGGCACAAGAGATGCTCAATAGTCTCTATACAGTTGCAGCTTTCACACATGGATGAATCCGCCATGCCAATGCGATGACTGAATGACTTAGTAAACGCTACCCCAGTCCACAGCCGGCACAGCATTGTAGCGTCACGTCGAGAAATCTTGGATGGCAGTTGTTTCTGAAGTAATGACTTCATATTCTTAGGGCGTTTATTGGAGTTAGGTGGAGAATTCCGGTGCGCAAGAGTGGCATTATTCGCGATATGACGAAGTTCTCTAGCTGCCTCTACTCTTGTCAAGGGTATTATCAGTGTGGGCGCTCCATCGTGGGCACATCGGGCAGCGTCGTCGGCGAGGTGGTTACCACTGATGCCACAGTGGCCCGGCAACCACTGTAAAACAATGTCGTGTCCTTGATCAGCAGCGCGATGACAAATTTGATTAATACGATACACCATCTGGTGGTAGTTTCCACGTCGTAGACTTCGCACGCATTGAAGGGCTACCTTGGAGTCACAGAAAATGGTCCATCTACTAGGGGATTCTTGCGTAACAAACTCCACGGCAGCTCGAAAAGCGGCGAGCTCGGATCCCGTAGATGTCGTGACGTGTGATGTCTTGAATTTGACGGTGATTGATCGAGATGGTATGACAAAGGCACCTGTCGAACTTCCCGAGACCGAACCGTCCGTGTAAACATGAATTCGGTTAGCATAGGACAAGTGCACAAGGTCCAGTGAGATCTGCTTGAGGGCTGCAGATGACAGGCTTGCCTTTTTAGATATCCCCGGCACTTTAAGGTGCACAGTCGGTCTTTTCATGCACCACTCTGGAGATAGTGGTATGGTTGTGGGCAAGAATCTCCACGAGATGGAATTTTGCTTAGCCGCAACAACTTTGGAAAACGCTGCCTTTGGTCTTTCTAGTGGCAAGCTAGCAAGGTGGTGGTTAGGCACTCTGGATATGTGACGGTTATGTGTCTGGAGTGTGTCAACAGTTATATATGTCGTGATCGGATGGCCTTTAGCAATTTCAATTGTTGCTAACGTATTAGCGCACCGAGGTAGCCCCAAGCATGTGCGGAGGACTTGGCCTTGAATGCTTAGCAGGACACTGATGTTAGTTTTTCCGGCATTGGAAAGCACGGGCGTGCTATACCGCAAATATCCCAAGAAGAGCGCTCTGTACAGCTGAAGCATAGGTGACACTGATGTGCCCCACGTTTTACCAGCGTGAAATCTCATCACGTGTGCGATAGAGCTGAGCCTCTTCAAGTGCGAGATGTGAGCACTTCACGAGAGATCTCTGTCGATAATGACACCCAGGAATCGATGACGTCTCATATACGAAAGGTTCACGTTGTCGATAGAAACAGGATAACCGATCATGGGCTTGCGGGTGAAAGGGACTAAGGTGCACTTCTCGGTGGAAATTGTGAGGCCTCGAGCATGGAGGTACGTCGACGTTATTCTCGCTGCTTTTTGGAGCCGTGCGAGTACCTGGATTCGTGTCACTGCTGAAGCCCAGATACATATATCATCAGCGTATGTAGAGATATTGACTGATCGAGGTAGGCTTTGTACAAGGCCAATGATCGTGAGGTTAAACAGCGTAGGGCTGAGAACCCCGCCTTGTGGAGCGCCACGAGTGGTGTAATGATCAACGGTGCGGCCTTCCGCAGTGAGCACGAAGAAGGATCTCCTCTGCAGGTAGCTCCGAATCCATCGAAACATTTCCCCACCGATTCCAATGTTCCCCAAGGCATCTAGGATGGCATGGTGCGTTACGTTGTCGTATGCACCTTTCACATCGAGGAACATTGCAACCGAGATGCGCTTGAGGTATTTCTGTTGTTGCACAGAGGTTACGAGGTCGATGACATTATCAATAGAAGAGCGGCTTCTTCGAAAACCAGCCATGGCCTCTGGGTATATATTATAGCGTTCAAGGTACCACTCTAGGCGTGTCAGAACCATTCTTTCTATTATTTTCCCTACGCAGCTGGATAGCGCAATGGGTCGATATGATGCCAGATCAAGCGGCTACTTTCCAGGTTTGAGGATTGGTACCAAGCGGCTGGATTTCCACCTTTCTGGAACGACGCCATCGTTCCATGACTGGTTGTAGCATTTTAGTAGCTGGTCTCGGCCGCGTCTTCCAAGATTGCATAAACCAGCGCATGTAATACCGTCCGGCCCAGGTGATGATGAACGTCTGCAGGTGGCTAGAGCTGCTTCCAGTTCGTCGAGTGAGAAAAGCATATTCAGTTCAGAAACTCGTGCTACAGGAACATCCCCGAGAACTTCGTCACTCATGGTACCCACATTGCGCGCAATCCTTACGCAGAAATCTTCAGCAACGTCAACCTGCAGGCGGCCTTGATGGAGAGCCAATGTGCTGAATGGACGTTGTTGTGAAGTCGAGCTCAGAAAGATTAATAATGGCGTACGAGGTGCTATCATACTCCAAAAGCAAATTACACGTTGAAGCTCATTGAGAAAAAACAAAATTTCAAATACAGTTTTTATTGCCTCAACATAAAGATTCACTGGTAATTCACATTACGGTGTTTCCTAATCATCGGAGACATTTAATTAAGGTGGAAATTTCATGATCTAAAAGGTGGCCATCAAGGTTAACAAAACTCATGCGAAAAACCATCGTCATATGGCAGCATGACACTACGATGGTATAATTATATCAAGAATTACTGAAATTTGATATGTCGTGATGGCGTCATTCTGAGGCCCTGACGACATCATGGTATGTCTGAGTTGCGTACAGTGTCTGTGTCTTTTGTTAAACTTTGAAAACCTTTAACGACCAAGTACTTGGACATTTGCAGTTGTTGGACACCCAGTTACAAAATGTCTATTGCGTGACCCAAAGTTCGTATTAGAATTTTCTACCACACTATAATACATATGTTAACGTGATTTTTAGGGACATGAGGCATGTGTGAGATCTTACTGCAAAGCTATTCTACGCACTGACATGGCTCTTTCATCGAATATTGGGCTGCCATGAAGAGGGCTGGAGTTCAAGCTTCCCTCCATTCTGAACTCTTCTTCCTTATTTAGCTAGTTTTCTTCTTTCTCGCGAAAGCGGGTACGGAAACTGGTGGCGGCAGACAACTACGGTACCAAAAACAGGCATTGTTGTATTCTCCTAACAGCTTTTCGTGCAAAAAGGAGGTGCTCCTTTCGAATCTTCTTTGGCAAACGTACGAGAAAGCGGCTTTTGCTTTTTAAGCACACGAGTCAAGGGCACGCAAGTCTTCGAGGTTCAGTTTATTATTTGGTTTCAATATTTTTAGGTCTGAGACAATCAAAACAGTCATCTCGCTAAACTCAAAAGCACTTCATTCTGCTTGCACTGCTGAAGACACATTATCTCGCTTTTAAATTCGACTTTCTGTAAGCCTTATTAACAATTGCAGCGATATATTCAGGGAGCAGCGTGCTTCCGCTCACGCAAGCTTTAAAAACATCAGTTATCCTCTAAAACACTTCGACATGCTAAAAAATGCTGTTGCTTATTAAAAACTAACTTGAGGTTTATATAGTAAGGTGTCTATAGCCAGGCGCTTACGGTGCTTAAAAGTTGTGAATTCATTACTCATTGTCCTGCCATTGGTGAAAAGCGTGTGCCTACTAAATAACAGTATTTCCGCTTTCTTGTTTGTTAAAATTTAGTTTAAGAGAAAGTGTACTTAACAGGGATTAGAGGATAAAATAGTTATTCTGGAAAAAAATATGCACGTTTGAATTTCAGTTGGTTTGGATGGCTTTATCATTAAAGAAGAATCTGATCAAGTTTGTTATCTTTGCAGCAAAAACAATTCTTTCACGAGACGGTTGCGTGGAATTGCTGGTGAAAGCGTATCTGAAACCAATTTTCAAGAGGCTGCAGCTACACTGGCAAAGAGATCAAACGCGCAGTAAATGCCCGCGTACCATTCTGCATCTTTCATCTACAGAACACTTTCTCTTGACACTGTGCTATAGAGGACAAACAAAAATAAATAATGAAGGCATATTTCTATCCTCGGTGACTGTGGAGTTGCTGGAATACTTGAACTGAATCTCGTATTCGCGCACAATAATCTAGTAAGTAGTCTCCTTCAATATTGCATTATTGACTATTTATATAGCCACCTGCTCTCGCACTAATTTTGAATAGTGCAGGGACCCGTACCTGAAAAATAATATTGCACTGGTGAGAGAGTCAGAATACTCTTGCCGATAAAACTGATGAGTGGGTCAAATGTCACACTGGAGTGGCAAGCGATTCTATAACTATTTCAAGCTATTCAACTTACTCGTGCGATAGCTTTGCGCGACTACAATAAAAATAGGGAGGTATTCAAAGTGGCCAAGTCCAATAAGACTTGCCGCTGTGTCTAGTCTCTGCAATAAGATCAAGAGAGAGAGAGAGAGCAATTTTTGCACTATTTTAACAGTACTCATTCAAATAACTCGCTGAGCTATTCGGCAGAGTGAAATACGAAATGCGATGCAATTATCTGTGATTTTGGAATCACTTACATACTTGTGAGTGAGCATAGCCAAATGAAGAGTGCGAATGTGATGTGCATTGTGTCATATGCTGTGAAAGACACGGCAGTAATCGACATGTAGTTTCCATATTTATTTATGATTATTATAGAAATATCAAAACTAGAGAACGTATTTAGAGGCAATAAAAACCGGGTTGTAGGTGCCAGAAATACGCGGGAAAAATACTATTTTACCCTTTCAAAATAGTAAATATAGGCACAATAAACTGTGACAAAATTAAAATTTTCGAAGAAATTATGTGAAATCTGTGTGTATGGCAGGAAAGCAAACTCAGATATTTTATCTTCTGACGGTACAAAGGCGCCAATGGTTTAGCACAGCCATGAATTTTTTTTCTCGCACGCTTTGCAGAATACGGTCTTTTTTAAATTCGAAGCAATTCTTAGGAAACTTCGGTGAATTTGACCATATCAAGCCACCTACGACATTTAGTTATCGTAGCCATTCGGATAATGGGATCTATACAAAACTTAGCGTGGCATAACATAACTGATATCACTAGCATATGTGACCAGTAATAACATGAAAATCGTCGCATGCACGTCATCAATATCTCTATTTACATGTCAAGGTCTTGCAGCTACTGTGGTTGTTTCGTTCACGTGACTTGTCGCAAAACATGTATGACAAGACATGACCGCATGGCGAACTTAAATGACGTGCCCTCACGTAGAAATCACGGCATGGGTGTCATGTAAGAACATGACGACATGCCACGCTCATGAAGCACTCGCTGTCGTTTCGCTAGGTTCACATATATCAAATTTGGTATTTCGTGGCGTGAATGGATGGTGAAATTATATGACGGGTGCCAATACGACAATCATGACACACCTGTTATGTAATGATAAGACTACATACCACGCTCATGATGCGCTCGCGGTCGTTTCGCTAGCTTCACATATATATTGTTTCGTATTTCGTGAAGCGAGTGGACGAGGAAGATAAATGACGTGTCCGAACATGATAATAGTTACAACCATGACAAGTAAAATATGACTAACTAGATGCTATGCTCATAGTGCGCTCGCGGTCATTTCGCTAGCTACACATATATCAAATTTGGCATTACGTGACGTGAAGGGATGACGAAGGTATATGACTGGTGCAAGCATGATAATCATGATATGCGCGTCATTTAAGAACATAACGTCTTACCACGCTCATGATGCGCTTGTGGCCGTTTCGCTGCATTCAAATATACAAAATTTGGAATTAAGAGAATAGACGACGAAGATATATAGCACGTCCAAACATGATAATTGTGAAATGCGTGTCATGTAAGACGTGACTACATGCTTCGTTCATGGCGCACTCACTACCGTTTCGCTAGCTTCAGATATACCAAATTTGGTATTACGTTACGTGAAAGGACGACGAACACGAATACCAGGCGCAAACATGATAATCAAAATATGAAAGTCATGTAAGGCATAGTTTACGTCCGCCTTGTAAAGTTGTGCTGATTTTATGTGACAACCCGACCTTACTCATTCGTGCTTCGCATATCATCGATTCCCACAGTACGTTGGACCTACTAATTCAATCTCTTTTTTTTGTCCTTCATGTTTAGTAAAGTGTCCACCATCGAACAAACACGCTCCGGGGTATTTTTCTCTTCAGCACGGCTGAGAAGGGCAACACTGGAGCAAATAGCCAGGTCTCCAATAGGCCAAAAGGGTGTTGTTGCCTCGTATTAACTTTGTCTAACTGCACAGGGTCAATTTATCTTATGTCTGTGAACACCTTAAAGGACTATTCACCAAACTTGAGAATTTTTTCGAGCAGGCAGGAGGAATGCATGTACTGGACGCTCACGATCTCATCTGCATATATGTGCTATGCTTCGCACCCCGAAAGGGTTAAGATGTCCACTAAACGTCGTTTGACCTTCATCTCAAACCAACGCGCCCCAACACGTTGAAGGTGACGTATACAACAAGGTTCCTGCGTACGTCAAAGTATTACATGACACTGCCAGGATTATTCGAGGGGATGTGCGTAATTTGTGCAGCCTATTGCCTGAATAGAAGTATGAAGCATACGCGTGCATAAACGTGATATCATACAAACGTAATCTATGTCGGTTATTTTTTTTTTCTCTTCGTATCGAGCGAGATGCGAGACTATAAGTTGCCTCCATTTTACTTACGTTGGTGTTCTCGCCGTTCTCACATCGTGCCACCGCCAGAATTCACAGCACTTGGCGTGTTTTTTGATGCATCGTCCCTCAAAGCAGTTCAATCAGTGCTACGCTGCGCGATGGTAACAGTCTCCAAACATGCACGTATAGAGGAATTTATGCCACAAAAACAGGGAGTACAATACGAAGAACGTCGAAACGACTCAACAGTGCTTGAATGCACGAAGTCTCATGAGCATGTCATGCGAATTTTTCCTTGCATGCACATGGCGTGTTAAAGCATCTGTGTGGTGTGATTTGGCGGCCCCGAGTTGCTTTCATACCGAAGAAAGCAGGGAAGAAATGCCAAAGATACGGGAAAGAGATGCCGAGGAGGCGACGCGACGTGGGTGAATACATGTGTAGATGCCATATAGTATACACTCTTGTATATATGCCAACATCGAACAATTTGCTGACTCGTTCATGATTAACACAAGCGTTAAATCCGGAGATCTGACTTTCATCGAGCGATGGCTGTTGTCAGTATAGGTAATTTGAGCTGCTTCAGTGCCTCTTTACTCTCCTTGCGCAGTGTTTCGGCTTGGTTGGCCTCAAGTACGGCTAATTAGAAACTTTACTAACATTCTGTCTACTGTATTAGCACACCCTGAAGAGAACGTGCGGGTTTCTTAACTGATCATTAGCAGCCTCCAGAGAACTAAAAAATTCATTTAAAAAGCCAGCACGGCTAGATCTGCCTTCCGCATCTGTGTAATCTCAATAGAGATTCAAGGTAAATTGATGCAAATGTAGTCCATTGATGTCATATGATAGCCCAAATACTTTAGTTCAACCGTATTTTGCTAGGCAGATCAACATCAGCTACATTTCATGAAGTAGTTTTCTTCAACGTAAAATTTTTAAACTGAATGCTTTTGTTTTCAAACTCATAGCCCCTTCTGTTACAATGGCTATGCTGATTTCAATGCAATGCACTAAACTAGGCACCCATTGGTTGAGTGAACATCGACAGTTCAGACGACGATGATGGGATAACTGCATTTATAATTCTGGCCACCGGAACTGCCGGGCAGGCACTGATGTGCCCATTTGCGCAGGCCCCAAAGATGTGTGCCGCCGACGACACGACTTTCCCCATCGCCGTCAGCGTGTCATCGCCACGGGTCATCTTGATGCTCCGGTGAACTTAGCGTGCCGGAACGCCACCTGAATTCCGCGATGTCAATGGCTCGTTCACTTCTTACTACCGTATGTCACGGTCTTTAAGAGAGCGTGTTTCTGTCATACTCTCGACTATGCTTGGGAACTGGCTTGTGGGAAATTGTTGGGATGAAGTCGAACGCATCGTGTACACCTATTATGATACTCCGTCAAAGACTGGGAGTGTTCCAAGAATCATTGTTCCCTTTATAAAACTGGAAACAGAGCATAAATGGCTGCAGGGAAACAAGAGGTTGAGAGCAACCATCTAAAATGTCAATGACCGAGAACATGACACAACACAACCGTATTTTGGTGCAGACTGCAAAGCAACGGGCAGATCACGATGACTTCAAAAATATTCCGATGGATGGCACCGCGATAGCAAAAGTTATGTGCGGAAAGCTGACACAGAACGTGCTCATGTGAACTAACGTTCAGAGGGCGTGACGCGGCTAGCTATGTGAGGCTGTATTTGTATTTGAACACCTTATAACTCACGATGCACTATCCGGATGTTTCTCCGAATAGGCTTGGCAAACTGGCCATTGAATCCACTTTATTGCTGCTACACTTTACCATTCAATATAGCTGTAGTAAAACAGATCTTGCAGTAACATATCTTCGTATTTGATGGAACAAGTTTGAACGAAAGTTGGATGTGTGGAAATGATTCTTTCCCCCCCGGAAAATATAGTTCTTTTTATTTGCATAGAATTGCCAAACTTGAATGAGGTTTATGTGTGCTGCTGTTAAAATGCATGCAGTCAGATAAAACTGAGCAATTATGCGCTAATATATCTAACTAGGACGTTCTATCTGTGCTTTCTGGAAAAATGCTTTTCGCCGTTGAATATCGATCGCCATGATGTCGCATTGACAATTTGTTTGTTTTGATTGAAAGCGTTTTTGAATTTGCATATCTCTGTCAATATACTGCTTTTTAAGTGGTGACCTGAATATCAATATTATCGGCGATTCCCCATGACGCACACAGTTATTTTTGCTTAGGCCTTATTTGCTTCGAAATGTTATCACTGTACCAGCCCTCATTAACTCGCCATCTCCAACTGCTTTTGACTTGCTAATCGCTAATAAATTTGTTCAATGTGTTTGTTCAGGGGATGTTAATAGAGCATTGAGTGATCACCTCCCTGTGGTTTTGTATGCAACGTCTCTCTCATTATCCCCATAATAACGCATGACCTGCTATTTCGGACACATGGTTTATCACCAGCTCAACGAAAGAATTTTCTCGCATCATAATAAATTTTGATTATGCTCCTTTGTACCATCAGGCAACTGCAAACGAACCGTTGTTTTTTTTTCCTAAAACACTTCACAGCGTTATGCCGTAAGACATTCCAATATAGAGTTACTGAAAAACTAAAGAAGGCCCGTAAGTTATGGATGGAGTCTCACGTCCTTTACACAATTCCTTAAAAAGAAAACAAGTTATACCAAAATTTTTTTTTACTTTTACTTAGTCGCGAACACTTCGATTTCGTTGCTTTTAAAAAACTTCACAATAACTTGAATGTCTCAGTAAAATAATTCTGGAAACGACTATCACTTTCGCCTATTTGCAGGCATTGGAGATGAAAAGGTCCTATGCACGAGAATAAGCACGTTGCGAAAATTTGAAAGATCGTGGTCACCTGGTTCACTCACCTGTTTCGCATATCAGCCATGTTTGCAAAGACCTCAACAGATAGATTCAATGGCTACTTTACATTCTTTGTCCAAAGTAGGCATACCCAAGCACTCTTGATTACGTGAAAAATTCGAGCACTTGATGCCAAGGCACTTATAGAGTGCGATTGCGATGAAATATCAGCTGCTTTTAGACGCTTGAAAATCAGCAAATGCGCGGACGCTTTTGGTCTGACAGCGATATCTGTATTACACATCTTCGATGCCATTTCTCCGCTCCTAACGCATAATTATACTTTGTACCTCCACATTGGTACTCTTACATCAGAAATTAAAAAGGCGAAAGTGACTATTGTCCAATAGGTGATATATGCAGACAAGACTAGCTTATTCTAATCGGGTTAAAATGTAGACTATTTAGTGAGTAAGTCTGAAATAAGGTACATGCTTGGTCTCTCAAAATGTTTTTACCGATTACCTACAATAACACAAAGATTTACTTTTTTCTGAGCAATAAATCAAGCTCATTTTGTCAGTGCTACTCTTATCCTTGGCAACTACTAACACCGTTCGAACACATGGAGACCATTTTATTAAATTCATGTTCTAGAATGCTCACATTCAGCACCTTCAAGGTAAGCTTTCACGTACCAATGGCAGTTTGAGAAAATTCGAGCATTCGTTGCCAGGAAAAACGAAGTCTATATTGAACCATGCATTGTTCGATTAACAGTTAAAATACTACGTATATATATGGGGCAATAAAACACAGACCAATATAGCAAAAATTATAATGAAAATTACGCTTAGAGGGATTGCTGATGGTCTTAAGAAAACGCCCTGTGCCCCATGCTTGCAGCATTTTGTATCATGCACTAATTGAACATGCACCAGCATCTTCTTTTACTATTCTACAAATCACAGATTTTGCATGAAATTTTATTCTCAGTTGAAGTCGCTAACATACGCACCAATATTCTGTATTACCCTACAAGGCAACACGAGCATTCGTCTGTGCCTTTTTAACAGACTAATTGCGGCTTCCAAACCATTAGCTACACATTGCCTTCTTTGCTTAACAAGTACAGCTTTTGTCACACATCGGTACGCAAAATTTCTTTCAATTTCTTTCAAACCTAATTAGTTGTTGTTTAATTGCCCACCATTTTCAATTATTTTTGTTGCCTCAACTTTATTTTATTGCACCCGTAAACACAGTGTATTTGCATTAGGGCCCCTTTTAATGTTCACTGCGTGTGCCTATTTTGTTTGCTCTACTTCCTGATGTTTTTTCATGCCTATGCTATTTCTGCACAAAGTATATCATTCTATACCGATGTGCATGGGGGAAAGGAGCTTCATTAAGCGGCAACGCAGCGGCTTTTTTTTCCCTTTTCCACTTCCATGTTTTTGTTTATATATGTCTGAAATAAAGATTCAATTCCAGTCAAATCACCCAACAGCTCCGATGTAGGGGTTTTATAAAAAAAAACGTGGCGCATAATGTTTGGAAGATTCACACACCAAGAGTCAAAACGTGAAACTTAATATCAATACAATCATGCTTATAGCAAGCCTGTATAAGCGCCTCACGAACTCTTCGTCAATGACATAAATATGATTAGACAAGTATGTTTTTCAGACGGACCATGTAGGCTTTGAAAGCATTAGTTCAAAGCTTAGTTGTTTTATGACAAGCACCCTAATCATAAAATATTGTGTTAAGCATGCGGACTTGTTTCCGGATTAACAAAAAGCTGTTGCATCGAAATTAATAATGACGTAAACTGTCGATTTTCTAGAGTTCATCTTATTAACTACAGTGGTCGCCGCAGCCATGAATGGCACTTAGGAAGGAAGAGTATTTTTCTTTGATTCGCCTATTAATTTCAATTGTTTGTGCATAGCTTGCCAGTCACAACATGTCATTTGAATAAACTCTTTGGTGTTGACAAAATTGTCGGCACTATTCATTGAAACTAAGAAATACTCTCACGAAGTGAAGTGGTGAAAACCAATAACCAACTTAAAATCTACAATACGGGGTGCGCTATTCTACAGTTTAACGATCCTTGTCAGCATTTCCCCACACCTAAAAGGGCATAAAAAACCGTGCTTGGTAAGAACGCGACTCCGCCACGCCTATTAACGTAAACGATAACAGTATGCACTGTTTGTTACGTACGCAAGGTAAACCCGGCCCTACACGAGCAAACGCCCACTCTTCGATGGGAGGATCGCCCGCGCCTTTGAAGCGTTGGTGTTCTCAATGCTATAATATAAATTCCTCGTCAGCTCTACCATACACGCGGATCCTTGCCTACGTAGAAAGCTTCGGTGGGACAATTAATGCGGCATCAAATGGGCCATCGCTTTCAACTGCGTCGCACTACGTGAATGCTGTGTGGAAGTGCACGTGACCCTGATGAATTGGTGACAGATAGCACAACAGGCGCGTGTCTCGGCAAATAAAGAACAGAAAGCAAACGGTTTTGGATAACGGCTTCCAGGAGGAATCTACCGAAGCGATCTTTGGTGTAGAGTTTTACATTTATGGTGGTCCTCTCTCTTTATTTACACAATCGGATGCTCGTTCTTTCTTTGTGCCTCCGGTAGACGGGTTTGTCCTGTGCTGACAGAGGCCAAAGTTTCTACCACGCCCAAATGCCCCTCGCCTGCTTTTTTTCCCCACGGAATATTAGGTATATAAGGAGGCGCTCTGCATTCGTTCGCTAAGAAGCTCCATCTCCTCGAAGAAACAGACACCATGGTAAGCACCCTACACCACCTCTGCTTTACTTGTCTTAGAATTCTAGGTTGTTTTCGAATGCCAGATATACGCACTTACAGCAAAGTGGATCAATTCTCTTTCTCTCAGGAGTTGCATTATATGGTTCAATTTGCCAAGCACCTTTTGTGTGGGTGGTATATTCAACTAATTTACCGACGCCTGTTGCACTGCCTTCCCAAACTACACTTCGTTATGGCATACAAAGAATACGCCATTCAAACAAAGTATGTCTGCATGTAGGGTACGAAATTTCAGCTATTTTTAAAATGATAGTTAAGCATTAGTAATCTTCCTACTTCCGTTCTCCCTATTACCAACAACGCTGTCATCATCATCATAAACAGGAACAGTTCGAGGCAACACTTTTCAATATGAGTTCCGAGCATACCAATTGAAACGTTTAAGTAGACAATAACATGCAATATATTCAAAGCACACGACACCCCTTTCTTCACATTATCTAGACGATTTTAATATAAAATTTCAAGGTTTTGTCAATGCTTTTAATGATCTATTGATGAAACCAGTGATAACTCTACGTGTAAATTAACAAATGGAATATCTGAGAGAACATAGGCTAATATTATATCCGGGCCACCACAAATAGAACTGTGCTATTTTTTTCTCTCTTCGGGAAACATCCTCCGGTTCTTGTTCCTTTACTTCGATAATAATTACCAGAAATCACACAGCATTTAAACACCGTAGACGCAACATGAGACAATACCAAGGAATATGAAACTATAATACCGTAGAGTGTTTAAGTGTAGAAGTCCAACTGCTCAGCGGCACTGTTTTGCTTAAGAAAAACGTAGTGCGAGTTCAGCAGAGGAGCTGAAAAGTCCGTGTGATGCGACGCTTTGGACGGCCAACGAAAATAAATACGGTAGGAAAGAACAACCACGCACTGAAAAAAAACTGATAATAATGTAGCCTCACACTGGTGGCGCCAAGCCTGAAGACTTGGCGCCACTAGTGCGAGGCTACATTATTAGGGCAGCAATACACTGATCGTGCCGTCGAAGCTGGTGGTAATTGCGATACGGTGGCGTTTGGATTCAATCGCTCTTCTTCACTGCACATGTTAAATCTCAACTTATCGTTCGGTAAAAACGATTCCTATAAAAATTGAGCACCTGAGTCACATAAGCAAGGCGTCTACAGTACATCAGTTTGCTTATTTATTTTTGGCAGTCGTTTAAGTATGATATTCTAACAAAACTGCTTCCGCACTAGCGTTAGCACCGAATCGACTGACATTCTGCGTACTTCATAAAAATAAGAGAAATTGATCATCAAGCACAGCTTCGGTCGCCAAATAATTAAGCAAAAAACTTGATCAGGTGCTTTCCGAAACTGTTGCGGTTCAGGCGTGTTTGGTTCCACTATCCATGAAGCCTTCGTTTACCTGCTCCGGGAAACATGTTTCATATATCGCACACAGGCCATGACGGTGCTGATAGGGCTCCCCCAGATACGCAAAACATTATGTGAAAGGATAAAATAGTGAAAACGAAGCTATATTTACCCCTTGCAAGATATCTACGATTGCAAACTATGAGTCTTTAGAACCATGCACAAAGCAACCACCAAAAGACCACACGTTTTCTCTTTGAGAATACGAACCATGATGCTCGAGTACATGCCAATGTCAAATTTTTACATTTATGCGTTCACGCAGATTCGCGCCGCCATCCTCCTCGCACTGGCCACCAGCGCCTTCGCTGGTTACGTCGGCGGCGGATACGCTCTCGGCCACGGTGTAGGCTATGCTGGTCTCACCGGAGTTGGCTACGGCCTTGGTGGATACGGCCTAGGCTACGGATATGGATACGCTCCGGGAGCTGGATACGCCGTTGCACCCGCTGTCCGCACCGTTGCAACTGCGGTTCACGCTGCACCAGCCGTAACTGCAGTGCACGCTGCCCCAGCCGTGACCGCCGTGCACGCCGCCCCGGCAGTGGCAGCCTATGCGGCTCCAGCAGTCACCAGGGTTGCCTACGCTGCCCCAGCTGTTGCTAGGGTTGCCTACGCTGCTCCCGCTGTCACCGCTGTCCACGCTGTTCACGCTGCCCCGGCCGTTGCTAGGGTTGCCTACGCTGCTCCCGCTGTCACCGCTGTCCACGCTGCCCCAGCCGTTTCCTACGCTGCCCCAGCCGTTTCCTACGCTGCTCCAGCCGTTTCCTATGCTGCTCCAGCCGTTTCTTACGCTGCGCCAGCAGTCGCCAGAGTCGCCTACGCTGCTCCAGCTGTGACCGCTGTCCATGCTGCCCCAGCTGTGGCCAGGGTAGCCTACGCTGCTCCCGCAGTCCACGCAGTCCACGCTGCCCCAGCCGTTTCCTACGCTACCAGGGTCTCCTACGCTGCTCCCGCAGTGGCCGCTGTTCACGCCGCCCCAGCTGTCGCCAGGGTTGCTTACGCCGCGCCTGCTGTCCATGCTGTCCATGCTGCCCCTGCTGTGGCGTACGCTGCTCCAGCTGTTGCCACCACGGCCGTCCACCACGCCGTGCCAGCAGTAGCATCCTATAGCGTGGCCCATGCTGCTCCAGCTGTGGCTTCCTATGGAGTCGCTCATGCTGCCCCAGCCTACGGATATGGTGTCGGCTCTCTTGGCTACGGCGCTGGCAACTATGGATACGGCCATGGCCTCCTCAGCTACGGTCTCAACTACGGCTATGGGCTCGGCTCCCCCTACCACTACAGCACGCTCCTTCACAAGAAGAAATGTAAGCATCATGTATTTAATTCACATTCCGTAAACAATACAATAATGTGGAGTTAAGTAAGGCTTACATTGGGCCGTTTTCATCACACTGATTACTTCATCTTGTCTCGTGCAAGTATTATCTATATATTGTAGATTGAAAGGTCAGTTTATTTGTATAGACAAATTAGTAGACTGGGGTACTTTATTTTATGAAGACCAGTCTGTTTTTAACAATATTTCACCAATAAGCAAGCACTCCTGCATAGGCCTAAAAACATTTTAATACATACTTGATTCGAAGTCCAGCAATACCTGTCCCATTGGTTTACACAAACACGTTATCAGACATGCTGGTGAATCATTCGTCGTGTTCTCAATAAAAACCTAGTAATATCTTTCAAAAAACATTTGGACCAGTACCACTTGAGATGATATTGAGTTCAACGGCATTTTATGATAAAACAGGTATAAATTTAGAACACAGTGCATTCAATAAGAGAGTTGAACTCATTGAAATTCTTTTGAAGCACCTTTTTTGCAAACAATATTTTACCGTATATGCTGTACTAGACCTAAAATTACGCACGAAGAACATTTTACTTCTCTCTTTATGAACCATAAAACGGTAATTATTTATTCTTTTGTGCAATCATGAAGAACGCCCGTGACAAAACATGGAGCTCTTAAAAAAATGTGTGTGTTTGACATTGTGTTTCAATTATCTCCTATAAACTTTCCAGGAACGCTTTTCCTTACTTACAAGGACGTTCACAAGGATGCAAGTCATCGACCGGATGTTTCTCTTGGAGTTGTGGTGCTTCGAAGGAAATAAACCTATTTGTTGCAAGTTTAACGATGACTCCTTGTTAACAACTTCTTTGAATCTGGATACGTATTTCCATTAACCTCTACCACACAGTGAAGGTCTACCGCAGCACTACAATACATTTCCAGCATTTACTGTTCAAGCCAGCAAAATTTTTAAATACAAATAATTTATTAAGGCACGCGGAAACGACACTAAGTTTTAATCATAGCCTATTTCTAATTTACAGGGTGCATTTCTGCAAACATATTTAAAACTTATGAACTTCGTCTGTTCTGAAAGTAACAGCTAAAGAATAAATGACATGCAGCTCTAATGTATATTTCCTCGCTTCTGCCAAGATGGGCTCAAGAGGGTCGATCACTTAAAAGAAAAAAAAGAGCATAACCCTACTTTTAAGTCTGGCGGTCGCATGCCACCAATTTACCACAGCGTGGGTGCCCTCTCAGGTGACTATGATCTTCGTTCTGCCGAGCACCAGGACAGAAGCGCGTTTGTACATATCAGGGGCGAAGCTCTTCCTATTATAAACTTGTAATGCGTCTTGCGTAAACGAGAGAAGAAATGAGGACAAAGAAAAAAAGACAGTATTTCCGGAATAGTATAATAAACGGCACTGTCTCATAACAGTACACACAAACTGCAGTTTAGTGATGATATTCTAGAAGACGCTGCAATGTTACTTTCTGACTAGCTGCTGCGTGGGCTGTGCCTGCGTACGCGGAAAACGAGGGCCTCTCTCATTGTCCTGGACAGTCGCCACACGTGGCAGATCATTGATGGGGCATCAACGAACCAGAGCGGCGGGCGCGTTGAAGACACTTGCGCTCGGCTTCCTTAGCTTGCGTCTCGTCGGTCTGCACGCCGTCTGCACCCGCACGCCACCTGCACTCTCGAACGCGATCGGACACATGGACGTATGAACGTATGCACAGATGGACGGACACGTGGACGGATAGACAGACGGACACTACGCCCCACTCATTATTATTCATTCCGTAGGTATGCTGTGATTTTTTTAGCCAGTAGGTGCCTGGCGGCAGCCATTGTCTCCCTCCCACAGCAGCGGAGAATGCTCAATCTATTTCACCGAGTCTATGGTGGATGAAGGTACGCCCAGGGGGCTTCGCAGAATTTTATGGAGCTACCTTTCGAGATGAGCACCCAGAAACCACCGAGCGCCAGGTCGGTATACTCCTCTAGCCATTGAAAAAAACGATTGGTTTCCGGTTGACACTGGTAATTGAGCCACGTACCTCCCGCGTTGGAAGCGGACGCTTTAGCCAAGCATGCATCACACAGAGTGACTTGTTGGCGAGTTGGTTCTTTCTTAAGGTATTTTATGACGCCTTTCCTTCTCTCATGATTTTTCCGCGCCATAAGCTACGTTATTCCTCACACCGCTCATAGCCCTCACCTTCATATGCCCTTTACTGTGCCTCTATTTGTCGTAGACTGGTAAGTCTCTGCTCCTGCGCTGTTGAATCGAGGCATTCCTGCTACATTACAAAAACAGTCAGATTATGTTCTGGAGTTTTATGTGTTCAAACAACCCTATATGATAGAGGCACACCACAGAAAGGTATTCTAAAATAGTTATGACTACTTGGGGTTCTTCATTGGCCCCACATATGCCTAAGACATCCAAGGCGTCTTGACAAATTGTCTTGGGTGTCCCATATTGTGCGTACGTGGTTACGTTTAGCCCGGCGATTCGTCTGGAGAGACGCCGTTGTGCGTAAGCCGGTCTACTTCGGGGGCTCTCAACCCCTTCGGCGCCCAGTCTGCCAGACGCTGCCGAAGATTTCGGCAATTACCCAGACCGTGCGACAAGCAAAGGCGAGTTCCTGACTTTCAAATACGGACCCTCTCGTCGTCCCTTCGAGCAGCAGCGGTGCCTGATGACCTAGGCGACGCATCTGGCGAGGGGGAAGCTGTTGTGACCGGCGCCAGAGCTGACGGGGAAGCGGCGCTCTTTTAATCCTCAATCAAGTAGCCGACCGGCCAGCTGCCTATGCCCGCCAGGCATTGTCCCTGCTAGCCGGAGGATGAGACGTCGTGTCGCAACGACGGCGTAAACCGTTCGAGTGAGGACAACAAACACAGCATCTTCCTTGGAAGAGACCCTGGCGGCTGCCGCCAATCGCCCCGCTAATTGAGCGAACGAATCGGCAGACCCTTTGATGTATGCTGTCAGGAGCTTGGGACCTCTCGACCAGCGGCACACACACGACGAGGAAGAACGCCGCTGGCGCCACCTTACGGTGCAGTGTTCACGACTCAATAATATTGGACGTTCACGTGGACCGTGCATGCTCGTCCCCCTCATGTGTTGTGTGTGTGTGTGATTGGTGTTCCACTCAAAGAGGAGGAGCCCGACAGGGCTTAAAACGACGCCGCAGAGTGCTGGATGGACGTCGCTCTGAACCATGTAACGTTTCAACCACCACGCTCCTGGTTTGTGCAACCACTAACCTTTCTTTGCTGTAAATAAGGGTGAATAGTGTCATAAACCTGTTTGTTTTCGTGTCCTCTTCTTGTCAGCGTTCGTTTCCTCCACCCGTTTACACCACGCTACCACAAGAGACCGGGTAGACCCCCATTCGCAACAACTGGTGGCAGCGATGGGATGCCATCAGCAACTTCCTTCCGACCCATAACAACGTGAAATCAGCTGGAATTGCCGGCTTTTTTTGCCAAAGTGCAAATAAAAGTTGCCATGAATTTCGGTCCTGCGAAATAAATTGACCATAAATAATTACGGCACAACCATTAGGCATATGTTCATATGAAGAATAGGTCTCGTGCATGCCTTAGGTTATAAAAACAAGCACATATGTGAACTCGAATGAGGACGTTCGCTAATAATGCTATGTTGATAAATTTCATCTTTTCGGCCTGTCTACCGAAATGTTGAAAGGCAGGTTGAGAACCTGCGACAGCATGAACTGGTTCGCGACAGGCCAACACGTGCCCGAACTTTCGGTTACAGCAACGCATATTTTTCAACGTGTCATTGATGAGATACTTTAAACTAGGTTCGATTCGGAGTGTTTGGGCCCGAGTGGACTAATCGAAATTCTATGTACGACGCTCCCGCTTAGTTTTATTGTTGAAGTGGCGTGCTATGATGGTACAGTAGTGCTGTTTATTGCTCGTGAAAATTGCCTCATCGATAAAGATTGCCAAAGATTGGCCGGCTATCTCACTTCAAGTGTTTTTTGAAACCATTAGGTCACTTCTCATTTGAATGCAGCTGGGGCTTTTTCTCTCATACGATAACGGATATTCCACAGACGGTTTCTTTCTCCTGCGTGAACTTTATGTGTAATGATCGTTTTGTTAAGCACCATTTTATTGCGGAGGATCACATCTGTATTCTATTCTCTTATAATGCAGCAAATAGCCTCGTGCTCAGCCTGTTCTAAACAAAATAAATTGGGAAATAGCTATTCAATACGAAAACAATACATTTAGAAGAGTGATACTCATGAATAGTAACGGGCATTTAGCTCTTAACTATAGAGGTGGCAATGGCAAAGGTGTTGGCGAAAGTTGGAGGAGATTTCATCTCATCATTACTATACTGTTGCATCTTGCATAAGCATGCGATTGAGTGGTTCCAACATCCCCTCCAGGAGATTGAAAGGTTTGTCGCAGCACCCCTTCTCTCATTGTAATTACAATGTATGGGGCTCGCCTTGCGCCCTCCCGCTCACCGCCTCCCCACCTCCCTTGCGCACCTCTATGACTTCGTGGTAGATCAGTTCAAATATGTAAAAATGACACATACCAACACGTAACTGTTAGTTCACGCTGTGAAGCGTGTAGATTTGGCGCATCGACAAACCAGCAGTCCTCTTGCAGGTATAATTGTCCCTGTTTCCATGCGACACAATGATAAACACGCACCAAAGGTCAAGATGTGTGTTTACAAAAACACGGCTGTTGGAAAATCTCATTTTGCTGCTCCCAGCCTCTGAGATTTTCCAAGAGCCAAGTAAAGCTAGAGGTTTAGTATCAAAGAAGTTTTACTGCTAGGAAAATAAAAAAGAGAGAAAACAGAAAATTTGAAGGGCCAGGACACGGAAATGGCGTGGAAGAAGAAAAAAAGGTAATGAAAAGGTGATGTGGAAATATATCACCGTATGGAAACATGAGGCTACATATGCGAAACATTCCGTAGGCAATGGCAAAAATAAGGAAACCCAGGAAGTGAAAGCATGCCCAAAATAAAGCTCATAACAAAATATACCTCCTAGTTCCAGAATTAGAACACAAATGCACGACAATCACATTTTATAAACGATTCTGCAACACCACACTGTTCACAATGTAGTGATGGCCTGTGCCGCGTTCACGTTTCAATCATCTGTTGCTGGAATGAGAAAATACATGTCGTTTTCCAGAGCTGTACAAGGGCAGCCTAAAACCACAACATTCCCTTTTCTTAGTGACAATGACATGAACCATGTGAAGAAACTCTCAATCGCCTCTCTCGCCTAAGGAGCTGTGCTATTTGCGCTAATCTCCTGTGAATTTGGAAATGGGGATTCAAACGCATGCTTTCACAAAAAGTTGCGAAACTAAACACTGGTAAGTTCAAGAATTGTGAAAATGGTAAGAACTGTGTGAATTTGTATACGTTTCTTATACAGTGTTTTCGGATGTGCTTTGAGTGATAATTGTCAAGTTAACTGCTGAACTTGTGCAGATAGGTTTGCTCAAGCAACTAACCTTACGGAATGACGGAGGAGAGACGTGATGTTTCCCAGTGTCCTCACGCACAAAGACGCTACGACCGGGTTCGTCGATTCTTTGATACAACGCAGAGATGGCACACGAGGCATACGTCCTCAAAAACACGGCTTTATTAACTCAAGATGCAGCAGAGTGCGACAATCATGGATTTGCGGGCAGCGGGGAAGCTTAGCAAAACTGATAGAGTACACTAGTCTAAGGTGCCACGGTTACCAAGCAAAGGGGTAACCGCCGAAGCGTGAATGAAAGGTCGCCCACAAAGACAGAGCGCATTACATCTTCGCTGCAGGCGTGCGAGCATCTCTCCACAACGTGAGCACCAGACGCAAGCAAGCTAATGGGAGAGGGGTTGTCAAAGGTTGCCAATGAGCATCGGAGAAGCAACGTGACTTGTGTGAGCATGAAGCGAGTGAAACGCGTTGCCCGGGCATGTTCGGACACATTCGCTCATGAATTTCAAATCCTGCAGATCCGATATTATGTAGCGTGGAAGTGGAAATGCTTACAATTTTACAACCATCTCCCTATTTATATTAGTTCAATCGATCAGCCGTGACAACTTATGGGAGAAAACATACATCAAAATATGCAAAGACAACGTTAATTCGACGTTACACTATTCTAATGACGTAACTTCTCCTGAAGCGAGGGAAAGACATACCTTAATCAAATACATAATCAAAAGTATAAATTGAAAAAGAATGCTATCCTCATTACACAATCATCCAGATTTCACATATTGTTGTTAAGCCGAACAGACAAACCAGCAGAAACAAGTCGAAACATTTTCTTATCATAAACTGTGGTCTAAGAAACTATTCTTACTAAAACTGAATTATTTCACAGTTGATCCGGGTACAGCACATTTACCTTTCTTACACACATACGCGTTTACAACACGCTCTAACTAGCAATCAAGCTGTCATAGGGAATCATTTTCTGGGCAACCAAATGAACCTTGCATCTATATCTATTTATTAATATATATATATATATATATATATATATATATATATATATATATATATATACAGTCCAGTAGATCCTCCGTGAGCGGTCACAACGTGGTTTATTTCGACGTTTCGGCTAGAGTCTGGCCTTCTTCAGGATATATATATATATATATATATATATATATATATATATATATATATATATATATTATATATATATATATATATATATATATATATATATATATATATATATATATATATATATATATATATATATATATATATATATAGTAAAAAAGAACTGAAGGGGTTAGCTGGTTAGTCCTTTTTCGGATTAACTGTTGATCCTGAGCAATCGTTCCTGGGAGAGTGAACTTTACTTCTTCGGTAGAAATTGTTAATTGTTTGAACAATTTTTCTATGGACTAATAGTTAATCTACTATTCATTCACCTGGCCATCTTCCCCAGACTAGCATGGCAGCTCCGGTCAGTTGGCTTCATTCATTACTACATCTGTGAATGTGTGTAGGAACACAAAATTGCTGAGACCAATTTCGGCTAGGAACACAAAATTGCTGAGGCCAATAACATAGGGCACTTGTCGTGGAAGTCATGAAGTTCTGTTTCTAACTAGCACCCACATACCACAGCCACAGTATGTGAATATGCATCACAGGTGATTTATCGTCACTACTAACCTAGGACATCAAAAATAGACATTGAAAAGACCATGATTATTTCACCCATGTGCACATTCGCTGTAGTAACTATGACTAAGTATTTCCATAAAAAATTCTAACTAAAATGTCGTTCGTTGACGGGAAGATTCGCGCTTGCTGGTGATTTCAATGTCAGCATATACGGAATAATCTCCGCCGTCTGTGACTACGTGCTGTCTAGGCGTAAATTTTCCCAGCGAGATAATAGATTAATCGCTTTGAGCCCACTACCACAAAGGTTAATTTGTAATGCCGGACAGCTTAACACGCTTCTCAAATGAATTATTGAGATCCACTGCAAAGCCCAAGAAGTCGCCTATTATTTGATGAGTTTCGAAAGCACACTGGGAATCATTGCACGTAGTAGCAATCCTCAACAAAGCAGGCAAGACTGGCCCTGGCAGGGCGAGGAAGAAATCAATGCGACGTCTCTTCTTGTTACGGGCGTGGAAAGACGACAGCATAGTTGCGCAACATTGGGCTGTTTCCGCCCAATAGGTTTTCAGCCGGTTAATTTGGGAGAGGCTCACACGAATCGTCCACATAATAACACACCAGGCTCCGAGTTTCCATAGCGTATAAAAGAAAGTGCAGCGCCCGTAATATACTGGAATCACCTTCACCTCCATCATCGCCACACAGCAGCCATGGTAAGATCTACGACATGCTCCGAACTTAGCAGTAACTTCGTAAGATGCCTGTGTGGTAAACACTATTAATCAATGTAGGGAATAATACCAGTATTTCAATGACGCTGTTATGAAAGCATGTGCTATAAGTACGCCTAATGTGGCTGATCAGCCTATTCTTCATAAAACACTGGATTTTTTAATTCGTCACTATATCCTACATGATCGCTTGCATTAGGAGCACTTCCGTTTTTTTCAGTCACCAACCTTATGTGCCTATTATGACTAATGAAATTTACTCACATGCTCAAAAATATTACAAGTATTAAGCACTTCTCAAGAAGCTTTTTTTTTTGCGGGCGTGTATTTTATATCGGTATCCAGTTTTTCAGGTCGGGTGCAATTACACCATGGGCTCTATCTGGACACGGCACCTTTTTTTTTTTTTGGGGGGGGGGGGGGTATAATGAAGTTTTGTTCCGCTCTCGGTCATTGATGGAATTATATGTGAAGTTTAACTTCCCGAAACTGCTTATATGAATATGAGAGACACCGTAGTGAACGGTTCCGGAAATTTAGACCACCTGGGCTTCTTTAACGTGCGTCCAAATCTGAGCACACAGGCTACAGCAATTTCGCCTCCATCGAAAATGCAGTTGCCACAACCAGGTTTAGATCTCGCGGCGTGGGAGTCAGCAGATGAGTGTCTTAGCCAATATACATCATGGCGGAGCACGCTCTCCGTCATTACATGAACATTGTGTACTTAATACCTGCACTGTTTTACATGGTAAAAAATGGTAGGAAACATCAAGTCTGCATGCGCTCAGAAAACAATTTCAGCTGTTCCTGAAATTAATAGTCTGGCAAACACTAATGTTAATGGAATACTTTAGGTCCCTCTTCAGTGCGCCCTCTGTATTTCCAGTTTCAAGCTAATGGCCTAGTATGCATATTTCTGTCAGTGATCAGAGCAACCTTAATGACAGCCCTTAGCTACCAAGTTGTCTGCTGAAGGTACAAAAAGATGTGTTTGCGAGAAAAGCAATATCTATTACCTGCACTCATTTGACCTTCTATTGCATGAGTTCTGAAAAGGCTATTTTGAAAATATTTTTGCAGCTTTTCTTATTGATTGAATTAACCTAAACGTGTACAAAATGGTTCCGAGTTTTAATGGCTGTAATAATAAGATACAGCTTTGTGCCGAATTTGGCGCACCACGAAGATTGCAGAGCCGTCTTGCTGCCATGCACGAAAAACAAAGCATCGTGTAAGGGGATCTTTTTAGCGCGATGTGTGGAATGAAATGAAACATTTGTTTGCTGAATTCAGTCACAGATAGTTGCTGCGCCTCCTGCATCTCACTCACGACATCTTTGTTAAAGGTGGCCGTTTAATGTTTGTCTCTTTTCGCGAAATTCTGGCCAGTGGCCGACTAGGTCAGATCGGTCGTCTTTAGGGGGGGGGGGGGGGGTTGGATAGGTGCTGGCGGCCACCTTCTTTTTTGGCTTGAACCTGGAATTCTATGTCTTCCTCTTCCTGGTCACTTTTTTGGGAAGGTGCATGTTGTGAGAGGTACGACAATTTGAAATTTAAGTTTTGAGTTGAGCCCCCGGTAGCACTTATTTCTTCCCAAGATCTCCTGAACCCTTCCGTACAGTAGCCATGCTGCTACTACCGATAAGTCTAACATATATGTAAAAATCTGAAAGAGCCACTTCTTCGACCTAATATGCTTCAGGTAAAGTCCAAGCAGTGAGCCCTGCAGGTCGTCTTCACCCATGTGTCTGTTGCAGACCTTTACTTCACTGGGGCTATTATTCTAACGAAACTTCTTCACTGAGGTAAACCAGCGCTTAGTCTTTTGGGCTGGATTCCTCCTCACAAAGCTCTACAGGAATGATACGGCGCGGATATCGTATCAACGAACACATGATAACTCCATATCATCTATCGTGGTTTTAGTGCCTGTGACGCACCACATCATTTACATTTCAGTTACTTTTCGCCCTTCAGGCGGCAGTATGGTGGACAATCAGCTCTCACCCTACCGAGTGACAAAATTCCACCTTGTGAAACAGTGACCTGTGATGACATGGACGCATTCGTTCCGCTGCCGTGCTACACCTTCACCCCATAACACCTATATCCCTTCCCGTGCAATTTTTTACTATCTCCAACATGGCAAATGCAAGTTTCCAGCGCTCAGCTGCGGTTTCACTGAAAATTGAATAACCGAAGCTCAAAGGCTATGCATTACATATATTTGTATTGCGTTTTACTGGACAGATGGCACGACAATACGAATTTGGTCATTCAAGTTCATATTTTGCCAGATTGGGCACGCACTGGTATCGGGTTCTTGGGTGTAGTTGCGGAGGAACATCAGAGAACTAATAATGAGCTTGAAATTATGAGACCATAATTTATATCAAAATAATTTTTCTATGTTTGTGAGGTGAGACCGTTCATAGAAAAAAAATACCAATTTCCCGTGTTTGCCCTTTCGAGTTGCACATCGCATTCCGATCTGCACTTGACTCTGTTTTGCTTATCAACCAAGAAATATAAAATTACTTTCCCATCTTAAATGCGCAAAACTATGAGAATTACTTCGATGGTATCACAATTTTAAGGGGGGCAGCCCACACGCGCAAAAAACATTCTACACGGTATGTGCCAAATATGGGACACCGTGCTATGAAGAGATACCTATAGTTAGAAATATTGAACGCGAGGTTGCATCTTAATGTCTCACATTGCGTTTCGTTCTAAGAAAAAAAAAAGACATTGGGGTGTGTACACCATTTTGGCTGAGGTATTTCCAGCATTCGTTCTATCATTACGCATTCTATGTAAAATAAAAATGATTGAATTAGGATTGTGTGTTAACAGTGCCTAAAATTGTCGTTTAACGTGTTGTTGCAGTTTCGTGTCTGCATTCTCCTCGCCCTCTCCACCACTGCCATCGCTGGCTACATTGGTAGCGGCTATGGACTTGGCCATGGCCTCAGTTATGGTCTCGGTAGCGGCCTTTCTAGCTACGGCCTGTCCCATGGCATTGGATACTCTGGTGTGACCGGCTACGGCCTGGGCTCCGGGTATAGTTATGCACCAGCTGTCAGCCGCACCGTGTCCACCTACCACGCTGCCCCAGCGGTTGCCACTTACGCAGCTGCTCCAGTAGCCACCTATGCCACTGCCCCTGCTGTCGCCAAGGTCGCCACATACGCTCCGGCTCCAGTCACTACCTACGCTGCTACTCCAACAGTTGCCAGGGTTCCTACTTACGCTGCTACCCCAGTTGCTACCTACGCTCGGGCCCCAGTTGCCACCTACGCTCGGGCCCCGGTTGCAACCTACGCTCGTGCCCCAGTTACCGCCTATGCTCGTGCCCCCGTTGCTGCCTATGCTCCGGCTCCATTGACCACATACGCCGCTGGGCAATCCGTGACCAACGTTCCAACTTATGCGCGTGCGCCAGTGGCCAGTTACGCTGCTGCTCCAGTGGCCACATATGCTGCTCCATCATCTGTGACCAGGGTTGCCACTTTTGCTCGAGCCCCAGTTGCCACTTACGCTGCTGCCCCGGCCGTGAACAAGGTTGCCACGTACGCACGCGCACCAGTCGCAACGTACGCTACCGCCCCAGCTGTAGCTAACGTCGCCACCTACTCTGCGGCCCCAGTCGCTACTTACGCTGCTGCCCCAGCTGTGGCCAGCATTTCTCATGCTGCGCCAGCATTCACCTCGTACACTACCCCAGCCTCCACCTCTTACAGCACTGTGCCTTCGTATTACAATTATGGAGTTGGCAAACTCGGATACGGTACCGGGCACTACAACTACGGTCACGGTCTCATTGGCTATGGCCTGAACTACGCGTATGGCCTCGGCACCCCCAAGCACTACACTGCTCTTACTCACAAGAAATGCAAGTATTCGTCTTGAGCTTTCCCTAATGTAGTGAACTTTACTGTAGGGTACCTTCGCCCTGTTTTGTTCCTTTTGTGCTATTACCACTCGAATATTGCTGAGCTCAGTGGACGAACATAATTTACCGGGTTCTTCTCTGTGTATGATGCAGCATTTGTTCTTTGATTACTGATTTTGTTGCCTATTATTAAGGTTGTTGGCTATCGTAAGTGGTGTGTATTTCTCTGATCTTTGTTTTTGATGCTTTTTGTGTTCATTTTACGCAGGAAATCAACTCGGACATTACCGACGCATCGCATTACATTCAACACATCAGGACGCCCAGAAGAAATGACTTCACCTTGGTGCAGTGATGACTGGAGGTCAAATAAATTATTGTTTTATATTTATGCAATAAATTCGTATGTCTGCCAAAGCCAACATGTAGACCAGACATTAATGACGTTATTCTGCGATTTTAATGCACCAATCATGAATCATGTCTCTGTGAAGGGCAACCTTTTCGTTAAGATCGCATGGTGTTTGCTAATGTGTTCAAGGAAGGCACTATAAAAGATCCTTTTACGTAAATTAGATCCAGAAGCTTCTTCTCCTCTCACGTCATTTAAACGTGGAGAGAGTGAAGCGCTGGTACAAACAAGCCCTGCCACCTGCTTTCACAGATATTCGATAGAGTCAAATGTAAGAAAATGAGGCATATTTTTCTTAGCTTTCAATATGCATCACATAGCGGAACCACGCAGCTGTAACGAAAGTGTGGCCATAAATACTACTTCATCACTGCAAAATATGCTTACGAAAACAAACAAAAAAACGGCAGGCCTGTGAAACGCCCCTGGACAGTCGCAGTGAAAGCTCGAAGACTGGCCTTTTTTATAGACGCTTACAATTTAATAATGAGAGTAGGCCCTCCCACACAGACCTGATTTGCATCAAATGAAATTTGTTCATTTCTTCATCATCATCATCAGCGGCAGCCTGACTGCGCCCACTGCAGTACAAGGTCTTTTCTCAGTATCCGCCAATCAACCCCATCTTGGGCTTTCTGCTGCCACCTTACACCGGTGAACTTTTTAATTTCATCGGCCCACCTAACTTTCTGTCTCGCCTTCGTGCGTTTGCCATCTCTGGGAATACAGTTAGATACCTCAATGACCAATGGTTATTCTGCTTACGCACGAGGTTCCCTTAAATGTCCATTTCTTTTTCTTGATTTTAACTATGATATTCTTAACCCCGGTTTGTTCCCTGACCCAGTGTGCTCTCTTCTTTTCTCTTAACGTTAGATCAATCATTTTCCTTTCCATTGCTCGCTGCGTCGTCCTCAATTTAAGCCAAACCCTCTTTGTAAGCCTCCAGGTTTCTTCTCTGTAAGTAATCATCGGCAAGGTGCAAATATAATATACCTTTCTATTAAGTGTTAGTTGCATATTACAATTCATTAATTTAGAATGAGTGCCGAATGTGATCCACCTCATTCTTATTCTTCTAGTTCTTTCACTGCCATGGTGTGACTTTGCCGTACTACCTGTTCTAAGTAGACATATTCCTTTACAGCTTCCAGCGTCTCTCCACCTATTGAAAAGTGCTGTTTTCTGCCGACACTTTCGCACAATATTTAGTTTTGGGCATATTAATTTTCAGACCTACTCTTCTGGTTCACGTGTCCAGTCAGCAATCATGGGCTGTAATGCGCCCCTTCACTTAATAATGAAAGCAATGTCATCAGCGAAACGCAGGTAACAAAAATTCTCTTTATTAACTCTTATCGTTAACGTTTCCTAATCTGTGGCCCTGAAAACGTCCTCAAAACACGCGGTGAAGAGCATGGGAGAGATCGTGTCCCTCTATGTCTTACATTTTTCTTTATTGGGACTCTGTCACTTTCTTTATAAAAAAACTATGGTGGCCGTGGATTCATTGTAGACTTCTTCCAGTATGTTTATGTAGGGTTTGTCATTATCCAACTTGCACAGTGGCTGCATTACTGCTGATATCTCGACTGAGTCAAACGCCATCAATTAACCAATGAAGGGAATATATAGGGGTTTATTGTACTCTCCCTATTTCTCTATTACTTGGTTGACAGAATGAATATGGTCTATTGTGGAGATCCCGCTTGTTCTTTTGCTCTATTGAAGTCTAATGTCATCTTACTTCTATTAGCTATTATTTCTGTATATATTGTGTATATAACGGATAGTAAGCTGATCAGCTTGTAACTTTTAGAGTCATTGACGTCTCCTTTCTTACGGAATAATACCATGCTGGCATTCTTCCAAGACTCTGGTACCGATCCCGCCAACAGACACTTCCTATATAAGGTGGCCAGTATTTCTAACACAATTTCTCTCCCATCTCTCGGCAGGTCTGTTGTTACCTTATTCCCGCCTGCAGCTTCGTCTCTTAGCAATCCTTTTAGGCGTTCTTTGCTTCCCCTCTCACTAGTGGTAGGATGCTGGACTTCTCTTGGCTAATATTGCTACTTACGATGACATACTGATTGCTTCGACTTGTGTACAGCTCTTCTTCGCCATCTCACCTATCCTATATATATATGTTAGGACATTGCTTTCCTTGTCCCTTAATGCATACATCAAATTTTGCCACAAGTTTGCCTTCGTTGCTTTTAGGATTCAGCCGTTTTTAAAGCCTGTTCCATTCTCTCTATGTTATGCAATTTGATGTCGGCTATCTTCGAAATTACATTCCAAAGCTCCACTAGCTCCATTTTGTCAGTTGCATTTGAGGCTTTTATGGTGCGTCGTCTCTTAATGAGATTTCTTTGTCTCCTGAGATAGTTGCCAGTGTCCTGTCTAGTCACTGTAGCTTCAAATTCTATTGAACACTCTTTGATCACACTAGTACGATTAACGTTCATTGTGTTAACATTAATGTCGGGTATACCTCGTTTAGAGCCTCGAATCTATTCTGAAGCAAAACTTTGAAGCCCTGTACTTACCCTCTCACCGCTAGCTCATTAATTGGTTTCTTGCGTATCTAAGAGCTCGTATCTAGGTGAATACGAGCTCTTAGAATTCTATTGTCACAACGTCGGAGCTTTCCAACTACTTCTACAACTTGTACAATTCCTCTGTGTGCATACAGAATGTAGTCTATTACATTTTGGTTTCGTCATTAAGACTTCACCATGTCTATTTACGATTAGCTCATTTTCCGAAGAAGGTGTTTAAGATTCATAAATAATAACGTTCTGCGAACTCTTTACTAATAACTACCCTCTGGCATTTGTATAGCCGATGCCACATTACCCCACTACATAATCGCTGGCCTGTTTCTTGTTTAGTTTGGCATTAACGTCGCCCATCGGAATAATGTACTGTGTCTTCATATTGGCTCACTCTACGTCATCATAGAAGCATTCAACCAAATGGTCGTTATAGCTAGGCGTAGGCACGTAGACCTGTACCACGATCATCTTGTACGTTTTGTTTAACTCAACTATGATACTTTGCCACCCTTTTACTGATTCTGTTCATGACTCCCACTGAGCACTTGCCACCTAGCGGGTGCGCCTGATAACGGCGCTAACAGGGTCAACCTCGAAAGAAGACCTGTTACCACGTTGCAGGCACTGACAAGCAGTCCCATAGTTTATTTTGTTTCTCTATGCCCCACGCGTGAGCTCGAAAATGAAGAAAACGATCTCCAGAGAGCATTGCGATGTACCGAAATGCGTGGCACCGTGGTGGAAAGATGCCAACGTATTGTTCTATGACTTCCTGATGAACGCAGAGGACGCATCACGGAGAACAGCGCAAATTAAAGACTTGGAAAAAAGGTGGCGGACTCTTACTTTGTTTAAATCAAGTCACTCCCTCGCTTCGATAGGCTTTTATCCTCGGTGAGTGCGCCATAATTTAGCTTACATGCATTCTTATTGGTATTCAGGCTTCTCTAAGCGCGGAGTATATAGTTTCGTTTATATAAGTAAGTGCTTTAGAAAATATGTTGGGTTACTTATGGGACTCTCTTTCAAATATGCTTGTTTTTTTATGTGCGTAAGTTGTAGTGATCCCTATTCTCTATTTACCCTACTGCTAGCCCCCCCCCCCTACTTGCATAGAGCGTGCGTAACGTGCGTGTATGTATGTTCGTGCGTATAAACATCATTTCCGTGGATTCGTAGCGTGGTTACTCTGAGTGCTCATATCTATCTGCTTTGTATAATAACTACTGCAAACACGAACAAGCGAGTGTTTGGAGGAGCAAGTCATAAGAAACCGAATAAAATGGATCGGTAAACGAAAAAAAATGGAGCACTTTTATTGCACTCTAAACTACCATTTGCCTTATCTCATGAGACATGGCCCGAGGCTACGGTGTAAGATATATCTTAGATCGTGGTCCAGGCATAGCTACGTTCTGTAGTCGAGTGAACAGCCATTTCAAGTGATAGTGGTAACGGACACGAGCTTTGTCGGCATCAAACAACTATAAAACCGGTCTTTGTTGTGATCTCGTAATATAGTAGTGAAGAGCTCGATGAAAGTCCATCTGGTATGACATTAAACGATATAAAACATGGTTACTGAACAAGTCCGATGGTGGTCGGGCGTTTCCAAGTCACATACGGTTTCCCTGTTCACTGAGCTACACTAGAAGTAGTTGACAATTATAAAGCCACTACGTGACGCAACGAGCGTGCGTAGGAAGAACGCATAGTTTCTGTTGTCCTATTGATTGTAGCTAGTGTTCACTGGATGATTAGAGAATCTAGGAGCTGGCGACACGACATGTTCCTTTCCTTCGCGATGAGAGCTGCATTGTAGCAGTAATGACGTGACTATGCTCTTGCGCTTACAATCAATGACATTTGTCCCGAGACTGTTCATACTTCATAGGGACGTCATGTTTGTGCTCCTTCAGATGTTGGAAGAACATTCCTGTTTCACCAGTGTACACTTGATGGCAATTATCGCACGGCCTCTTGTACACAACTCCTGTGAATGACTCAGTCGGCCGCCTATTTTTCACGATGCTAAGCTGGTCCC